CGGCCAAAGCGATGCAGCCAAATAGAATGTGTTGTACCTTCTCTGTGAACTTTCCACATAAACGGCAATTTTCATCCGTGACTGCGAACTCATCTTTCAGTTATAGCATAGGTAAAGCTCTTGCATTCCTGCTATGGTGTATGTAGGGGCATTCTTCTATGAAGAAAGCCACGCAAAGCATTTCTCAAGATCAACTTCTTCGTCGTCCCATCTGTTCCTGATTAATTTTCCTTGACATCTCTCCTCAGATACAGTTGATTGTGTCTCCTGCTGCCGTGACTTGTTGATTACTGGCTTCACCTGTTTGACCTGTACTTCTTTATCCCCATCGATGACAGTTGTGTTTGGATAACTTAGCCGTAGCTGAAAACCCAGTTCAGCTGCATACGTCGTTACATCTTGGATCGTGGAGTGACGACCTTTTTGTTCAGCAAGCTCTTCAAAGGATCTTACAGTAGCCATCGTTGGGTGACCATTACAATAGAGCTTCTTTATTGCTGCTTTCATATTAGTGTTCTTGTATTCCTTCTCCACCGACCTAACACCTCTTCCACCGTGCTTCCGTGACATAGAGTACTGCCTTTGATCCACGAGTGTGATTTCCTCCATTCTCTTCAATGATCTTTCTTTCCTCGCGATCTACCTGTTTAATGCCTGCTATCGGCCACGTTTGTGTCTACATGAGGTATGTAAGTACCGGAAGTGCGTACTGATCGGTTGCCTTAACCTTCGAGCGGTCTGACAATGGGTTAGACCAGATGATTAATAGCCTTCGCAGCAACCTCTAATATTTCCTCGTCCTCTTGCTTGTTGTTTTCAAGAACGACCAGAAATTTACAGGTGCTATCTTTACCTAACTTCTTAGGTTTGAGGTTAGCAATATTCATGTCTTCTCTACCTTGCTCGGTATGAGCTTTCTTCACATTTACCACAGCACACTTTTTCTCATTCCACGTCAACCAGATACATCCTACTCCGTTCTTTACAACCGTCAATTATTATTATTAGTTTCATTAGTGTTATTGTTATTTTTGTTATAATTATTATAATTATCATCGTTATAATTATCAGCTTCATTATTTTCATTATTATCATTAACATCATCATTATTATTGTTTTTTGTTATGACATCATGACATAGCTGGCAGCCACGTTTTACTGTGCTTCGTTTCTTCTCCCTTTTTGGGCTTTATATCGTGTCTTGGAACGTCAGAAGTCATCTATATTCTTAAGATTCCAAGGTGATTCCACGGTAGTTTCATCTCTAGTCATGAAGTTACGTGCGTTACAGAACTTCGACAACTTTTGTACTTTCCTTGTCAACATCGAAAGGTTTCTGGCGCCATCTTGTTTTCAGCATACATAGTGTTATGTATGGCAATACTGCTGGTCATTATTCAGTTATTTAATTGTTGAGTTATTGTTTGTTAACCAATCACATTAAACCACGCAGTTCGGATTGGAGATCCAACATGGCGTCTGTGTCATCAATATGTAACTTGGTGTCAGGAGTGGGATTACGGGCACCACTGGATAAAACCAAACACAACAAGATGGCTAAAGGATACGCCAATTCGTCGTTCAACTGTCCAAGAATGAACTGGGCCGCTACGGACCTGAGCAAAAAATGGGAGAGATTTTACCAACACTGCGAATTCACGTTCGGAAGACCGCTCAGCAAATGCACTGAGAAGGAAGAAATATGCAACCTTATGAGCTTCGTCGGCGACAAAGGTCGAAAAAATTACCTCACTTTCTAATGGGAAACTGTGCAAGTTGGATCTGGAGAAAGTGCACAAAATGTAAATGAAAAGGACATTTTCCATAGAGTCGTCGGAAAGTTCAAAGCACATCTTGAAGCAAAGAAGA